ATTTAAAAAGAACTTCTGAAAGCAATTTTTGTCGCAGGTTCCGTGAGCAGATTGCTCTCCAGGTACGGCATGCTGGTTTTAAACATTCGGTAATTAATGGAAAGTATTTCGTGTTAATTGACTGCTTCAGGAAAGGGAAGTATAATGGCTGCTTATTAATCATGGAAAGAGACATACAGCACAGAGGCACTGCAATTATTGCACTAACGGTTGAGAAATGTTAATTAATGAAAAGAACAATGATGTAAGAAATTAGCTACATAATGCTTCCTGCTGGTACAGATTTGCACTTTAAATGCTTTTTTTTAGCATGGCAACTGCTGGATGTTGCTTTAAATAGCAAAATTTCTCTAACCTTTTCTAAAATGTCACCTATATTTCAGCTCATGAACCACTAAACTCAGTGAAGACATTTTTCCCATCAATAAAGCTTTTCTAAAGGACTAATGGGTAATGGCATTGCGTATATCTACCTTCCCCAACCTGGTACCCTCCCAATGTCTTAAAATGCAAGTCTCAGTATCCCCTGGCCAGCATGGTGGGACTTGTAGTCTGAATCACCATGATAATGAGATTGACAAATGTGAACTAAGTTCTCCAGGAAGAGGATTATACTAGTGTTGCTATTTATACCCTGGGAAAATAGGATAGCTTTTACCTTTTTATTTAAACGTCATTTTAATTGTTAACAATATTTGCTTATTTATCTGGCCAGGGCGACTTCTTTTATATTGTTATTTATTTTATATTGTTATTTTTGTATTTTATTGTATTTTATTTGTGCTGTGAGCCGCCCCGAGGCTTCGGCAAGGGGCGGCATAGAAATGTTTTAATGAATAAATAAATAAATAAAAATACCTGCTTCCCAAGGTCCAGGGAATGTTAGGAATGCAAGAGGCCATTGTCCTTGGCAAGTGTTGCAGGGCCAGGGAGGCATGGAATTTCCAGATGGAGGGACTTTAATCTCCTTGCCGAGGCGGTTTTGCCTGGGATGGCTCAGGACTTCATGGCAGCCATGGGGCTGTCTCAGCATGTCACTGGCCCAACCCATGAAAGAGGTCACACGCTTGACCTGGTTTTCTCGCCAGGACGGGAAGAGGGTGGCCTGGAAGTGAGAAATTTGATTCTAACTCCTTTGTCATGGTCAGGCCACTTCCTCATGAGGTTTGAGCCTGGGGCTGACCTCTCCTTCCAGAAGAGTGTGGGCCCTATTAAGATGGTCCACCCCTGGAGCCAGCTGGATTCCTGAGGGCTCTGGGGGATTTTCTGGCTGATAAAGCTCGTGCTCCCCCATCAATATTGAGGTCCTGAGCTTTGGACAATGGGTGGGAGAGGTGAGACTTTTGCAGTAGCACCGGGGTGAGAAATCAAAATCCTCACCCTCTCTGCAAGTTATCGTTTATGGTGTCAGGAAATCTCAAATTCACCGAACCAGGAGAATGTATGTTCAGAGTCATACATTCAATTTCAGCAGTTTATTTACCCTAGGAATCCCTCTGTGACAAAGAAAAAACAACATCACTGTTGGGTAGTTAGCATACCAAACTGGCTATGAGCCTCCAGAGCACAGACAGAGCTTTTCATCAGTTGTGGGTCTCATACACAGTTTCAAGGCAGTGATGAGATTTTGAATGGGTGAGAAGGCAAGGACAATGGGGAATTATACAGAAACATTGAAAAATCATTATAGGCATCAGGGAAAAACATAATGACCCATCAAAGGCTTGAGTAACAGATAACAAATAAAACAATCAGGAGTTACAGAATTCTAAAAGGTTTAAAATGTGGGTTTTGCAATCAGAGATACAAAAATCCTTAAGACAAAGCATGAGATGGCTAGGTATTTTTACATTGCAAAGGAAGCTCAGCTGCTTGGATGGCTTGTAGCACTGTTTCAGCTAGGAGCTTGCCTGAGAGCAGACAGATTGTTCACATGCTTTGGGGTGCTTTTCCTTTTCCCAGAGAAGGAAGAATTAGAAAGATGAGGAGGGGAGAGGACAGGTGATGCTCTCCATATTTTGACATGTAGAACTTGCGTTGCTCTGCAAGAAACTGCATGAATAATGGAGCCCCGGGGCTGCCTACTTTTCCCAGGCATATGGAACTGGGTGAAAATTTCTAGTCCCTTTGAGTGAGGAGGAATAAGGACACTGCTGCCAGATTTTGTATTAAAGGACATGCAAAAGCATATCTTTTTATTTCAAGATTTATTTGGACTTTCCCAACAATGGTCCACTATCCCAGCAAATTTCAGCTCCAGGCATGGGCTCTGTTTAAAGGAAAGCACTTGGAGGATCTGCTGTGAGGCAAGCAGCAGAAGTGGGAGAGTTTTGCACCCTTCCTGCCATGTCCCCCTTGATATTAAAGATGAAGGCTGCTGCCCTCCAACAGCATTTTCTACATGATGGGAGCTGATATATGTTCAGGCTCGGAGTTCTTCCACCATGGCTCTAATTAGCTGCCTCTGGCATGATATGCTCTGTTTTGCAGGCGATGGTTAACAGCAGAGTACAATAATATTTCTGCTAGTGCTCAGATTGCTTAAGACAATGCACTCGCATGCATGTTCTGCTGCCTTCAGTGGATCTCTAGTGATTTCAATCTTGTGAGGCTCATTGCCTAATTGGCAGCGCAGCAGGGCCTACCCTGTGAAACTTAAGCACATTTAAGTCCCATTGTTTCAGCGGAAGAATAGTTTCTGTGCACATGACCTCCCATAGAAACCAGTGGGACTTAAAAATGCTCAACTGTGGCTGGATCGTGCCTGCTGATTTCAGAAGGGCATCCTACGATATTCCACCAAGTTAATTTGGGTGGGCATCATACTCTATATGTGCACATCCAAATGTTTCTGCTATTTACTCTTTCAAGTAAATGAAATGTTGATCCCCCTTTTCAAGCTAAGACAAGACAGCCATGTTATCATTGGTATGTTCACACATCAGCTGAACAAGACTTCTGAATGCTCATGTGAGAATTCCTGGGTAGAGGTATGAGGATAAGCAAACGTTTCCCCAAGTTCCCTGAAGTCCATAGCAAAGGCTCTGTCTGAATTGTCCTTCTCAGATTATGAGCTTTGACTTTTTTCTTTTCACGTGAATGTGCATGTGTAGCTTTCCAAATGCACGTATCTTGTGCACACCTTTGAAATGCATGCATTCCCCTTTCATTGATTAAAGCATATCTGTGCACATTTTTTCCGAAAGTATACATTATTTCATACTAACTGGTTAAATATATGTGTGCCGTCAAGCACCTCTCTGCTGTGCTCAGATCATACTGCCAGCTTACAAAGCCACAGACTTCAGCCTCAGATCCTGGATCAGTCTGTCTCATTATAGAAGGAGTGGGCTGAGTCCAACCAAAACAAGCTTGCTGGATGTAGGAATTTCTTGTACATTCCTAGTTGTGGATGGAAACTCAGCTTACTCAAAGGGAACCCTTGGTCATGCAAACCTCTAAGGCAAGCATGGGCTGAAAGAAGATCAGGATTTTGGGCAGATTTCTGGGTGGTTTGACTAAATCGGTAGGGATCCCAACTTTCTAAGACAAGCAACAACTCAAGAAATCTCCCCACGGAAGAATTAAGGTAGATTTAAATTGTTGAATAAAACCATGGGAGTTGGAACCATGAAATAGTAGTTTGTGTGAATGAACTAGTGATCTTGGTTCTTGTCCCATCTTGGTTCTGGCACAGATGTCTGGGCTAAGCCCACATCAGAGGCACACTGTTCCTTATTAGCACTGGTGTCTCTATGTTCTGTCCAAAGAGACCAGTGTGCCTACAGAATCCTTCCTGCCCTTCTTGATTTTTATTTATTTTATTTTACTTTTAAAGATTGTATTATTTAGATAACAATAATTAGGAGGTCAGCTTGCTGCAAAGTGAAGTGCAAACCTGCAGGTGTGGGTGGAGAACAGCCCGGTCTTCTTTAATGTGCTGAATGGGTTAACTGGCTGCCCAGGCCATGTGGTTTGCCTCAGCTTTTTGTGTGTGGTATGTGTACATGTTGCTGTGTGTATTTTATTTGTTTTGCAAGTGTGTGTGTGCGCGCACGCATGTGTGCATTTATGTGACCACATCAGTTAGCCTTCTGTATAATGGGCATTATATTGTGGGGACAAATACAAATTTTAGTATCTGTGGCTTAGATTTCACTCTTGCCTTGTACTCGATTCCTTGGCCACGTATGCATCTCATCGCTTGCCTCCTGTATGATGGATCTTGGAGTGGAAAATTGTGGTTTTCAAAGTGTGACTTTGCATTTTTGAACTTGCACCCCACCTCTGCCTTGTCCTTGCGTGTTCAGCAAGGCATTTTTCTTCTAGCTTCATCAGGTTGTCCCCTGGGGCATGGGCGTTTTGTGACTGGCCACAGCCACGGTTGCAGTAATTTCATGACTGGGCAGGCTCTCCTTGCAGCATGCATTCTGTGAGTGTGCCCACAAGCCACACTCAGGATTCCAGGTGGCTACCCAGAACGGCTCCTCCGGCTACCTGAGCCACTGTTTTGCCCCTGGCTCCGGACAGTGGACTGCAGAACCTTAGAACATAAGAACTGTTTGTGCTCAGCATCCCAGTCTGCATCCCACTTTGATCCCATGATTCTATGAAAACGTGCTTACCTGTAAATATTAAGGAACTTTGCATCAGAAAAGGTATCTACCAATAACTTGCAACTCCTAGGGTTGAGAATCTGAATACCAGATCAGCTTAGCACATGTTCCTTCTCTGCATTAGCCACGTACTTCTCAGTCTCTCCTTATCACCCAATTTCACCCATTCTGCCAGACTGCAGCAGAGGGAGAGATGGGAAACAGGGCAAATGCCATCAGTCCTTCTGAGAGAATAGCTCCCTGCTCTCAGAAGCACAAGAGGCAATTTTCAACCCACTTAGAAGTTGCTGCCTCTTGTGTATCTTGTTTTGGCACCTCTGTGTTACTCATTTCTCCTTGACTGCTTTTCGGAGCCTCTTTCTCACTCTTAAACCTTTTTTCCAGGTGGAATGTCCTTGGACTGCAAGGTGCTCTCCTGAGCTACTTCATTGAGCCTGTGTATTTGCACAGCATTATTGTGGGAAGCCTCTCCCACACTGGGCACCTTTCACGAGTCATGAGCCATAGACTGGAAGATGTTGGTCCGCTGCCATCCTCGTACCGGCGCAACCAGCTGCTTCTGAGCGGTAAGCCAGGGCTTACTCAGAAACATAAAGGATCTGCTCTTCTACTGCTCATCCAATGGATTCCCACACGAGTCCTTCTGAAGGGCTTCTGCAAGCTTACAATATTTGCTTTCTTCTCATTCTTCCTTTCTGTCCATTTATTTTTAGTGCTAATTTCTGGCTACCTGACTTCTAGGTCAAAACAAACCAAAGTCTATTTTTTAATAAATGAAATGAATCTCAGCACAAATCCAGATATATCAATTATACATAAGCTTGAGCAAAAGCAGAGCAAATATTCATATATACATCCCTTCAGAAGTGCTGTCATCATGTCATCTGGTCAAATACTGAAAGCGTGGATAGTCCACAGTGTCATAAGACCTGAGCTTTTTTTCTTTCCAGTGATATAATATCATTCTATTAGCTATCAAAGCAAAGCTGGAAGAGCCATTTCAGTTGACTTCCAAAAAACAAGTGGTGATTTTTTTTAAATGTACACCAGAAAATATCAAAACATCTTCCAATTTAAGTTTATCCATATAAAAACTTTGACCCAAAAAGAGGCATTGCCAAATCATTTAAATAAAAGAAGCATTAGCACCTGCAGCAGTTGGTTGACTTAAGCAAAATCTTTATTATTGCTATTTTGTTTAAAACTGTAATCTGCTTGGAGAGTCTTCAGACTAGTATACTAGAATATAAATTGAATCAATAAATAATAATTATTATTACAATTATTATTAATGAGATATGGCAGTGCCCAAGGAAACAATTTTTTTGTTGAATGAGATGGTTCACTGAAACTTCAGATATAGGTTTTTTCCTTTGATGCTAATAATAGTGCTACAGTGTTACCTATATATGTCTCCTAAGAAGTATGACTCATAACTCTTCAATGGCGCATACTCCCAGGTAAGTAGTGATACAGCTGTAGGCTTAGTTGAGATTATTCCTTCCTACCATCTTGCCTCCATTCCTTTTTGAGGTACTTTGTCTTCCTAGAAAGAAATTCTGCCAAAGGATGCTCACTGTGAAATATTATTAAGAAAGGAAAAAGCTGCCTACATTAAATTTGTTCTGTCCCGTTCTGCCTCAGTTTGCCATTTTTTAAAGTCCTCATGAACACTTGTATGAATTTTCATGCACATTTCTTTAAGTGAACATAGCATTGTATACATTTTTCAAATACAAGCCATTTTATACCCACTTTTCAAAACCTACCTGACTTCTAGGAATTTATAACTTCCATGAGGATGTGTGTTGGAGGGTTAGACACTGTATATCTCTTGGTCCTGTTCTCATACACAATAGTTTTGGCAGAGAGTGCTAGAACCAGTGGGAAACATGACCAGAAATTATATTCCTTTAATATTTGCAGTAGCAATTCTTGTGTATTCGAAAGATAGCATCTTAGAGGAAAATATAGAATCATTTAGGATGCAAGTCTACACATGTTTAGAAAAATTCTCCGACTCCCAACATATCCCAGCCAAGATTTTGTTTATGTTTTTGAACTCATCTGCCTATCTAGCTAGCTACCTTCTTTACCACCTGGTAGCCAATGCTCTTGAAATTATAATAAAATACCAGCAATGGCCCAATCCATCCCAATGTGCTGAGTGTTTATAACTCCCCACTGTTGCCTTCAGTAACCAATGCAAAAAGATTTCCCTGGAGTTGGCATTTTGTAAATGCCTTTCATAAGTTCATAAGCTTGGTAGTTAACCAAGTCCTGAAGATTTTCAGTGCCGCAAGTGAACTAACCCACTGCTGGTCTTAATCTGATGCAACAAGGTCATTGCTCTAAGATGCCCTGACATTTTGTCCCAAGTCGTATCTTCAAGTAACCATCACAGGGGTGTCCATTTGAAGTGCAACCATGTAAAAGCAACATTAGATAATAAATTCTCGGCATACACACTTCCCCCATGATTTGATCAACCCTGGGGAGCTAACCTTTGGCAGTGCATTTTTTAGTGTTTGGATTTGTGTGTGCGTGCGCATGGACACCCGCTTGTGCTCACACACATGGTTTCCCACATGGCACTTCTTGAGTGTATGAAACAGACCTTCCTGGCAGCTTATTTTAAGACTGAGTCCTACTAGACATTTTTAAAATGGCTTGTCCCATTAAGCATCATTAAACACATCTTTGGCTGACCAGATAAGCTATATAGGTGGAAGCAATCATTATCCAATAGAGCAATCTTTCCATTAGATGTGGCACTTGTGCAGGAATATCACCTCTCATCTAAGGACCTTGACGCGCTCTGTAAGTGTTCAAACCAAACTCGAGCCTTGGGTCATAAAATTTACTTAGGAACAGATTTAACCTTATTCCCCATTCAGTGATGTGCTGAATGTGCTTCAGCACATCAGCAGAAGGACTAACCCGAGCACCAAGAAGAGCAGTCTTGGGTGAGGGAAGGAGGGGGAGTGAGCAGCTTAAGCGGCTTTCACTTTGGAGACTCTGCACATGTGCAGATGTCATAACCAAACTGGGCTGGTGCTGAACATGGCAGCTTCCTGTAGAGCTTTTCCCCATTCCCATGTCATTGGCATTGTCGTGTTGTGTATTTCCCTGCTCGCTTTCTCTGTGCCCTTGGCAGAAGGGCAGAAACAAGGGGAAATGCCCTATTGTGCTTGGATTAAGAAAGGGCATGGAAGTCTCCACTCAAGCAGTTGATCACTCGCACCTCTGAACAAGTGAAGACACTTGTTGCCAGAACAGGCGAGGCCAGCAGAGTTCGCAGAAGGGGGTGCCACTGGCCTGCTCCAAGCAGGAAAGGTGCATTTCGGCTTTTAGAATTAGTTTTAGGAACACAAAAGCCCCGTGGTGCTGGAATTTGCTCATGGGAGCAAAACAGGACAGCAGCTCCGCTAGATACTTCACTCAGTGCCAGGATAACATGACATCATGCCAGGAGGTGAGACTGAGCGTTACAAGGAAAGGATGGAGAATGCAACACGTGGTGCTTTACACTGGGCTGGGTCATCTACGTTCCAGTGATCGAAGGCCTCTTCTCGAGGCCTGTGCCTCTGGCCAATTTGGGGAGCCTCCACGTTCTTCCCTACACCTCAAGACACACCTTTCAACACAATGTCCTGTGTGGAAGACCAACACCACCAGCCCAGTTGCATGCATCAGCCCATCAAGGCCTCTTTTGCTGTGGACACTAGTGGGTCCAATGTGAGTGGGGTGGTTGATCCGTTCGGGGTTTTAGACTGCACTTTCGAAGAACTCTGCATGGTCCAGGACTTATGCTCCAAGATAGGCCCAGCACCATGGGGAGCGCCTTTGAAAGGCTGACTCCAGTCCAGAGCGGCTCAACCACCCAACTCCCATGGGAGCCACTGGTTCCCTCTACGTATGCTGAACCAGGCTGTTGGTCCAGCTGATTCAGTGTTGCCTGCTTGGGCCCGCAGCCAAGGCTAGAGGTCTCTCCCAGCCTGCTCTCTGGCTTGAACCTTCCCATGCCAAGCACAGGGTGATCCTTCACTGCACTAAGGCCAGTTCTTCTCCGGCCACATTCACTCCTAGCAGCACCCAAGAGGAGCAGAAGCTTTCGCTAGTATCTTGTGTGCAAATGTTTTTGCACAACATTTTATCACCTTTGAGTGATTTAGTGCACAGTCCACAGCCCAGCTAACAGGCAGAATCAGACATCAGGTGATTTAAACCCTTTCTCTATTGATTTCAATTGCTAGGACTATATATTTCATTTATGTTCTTGAGGAATGACCATTCACCACAGGTGGACTCGCGAGAGTTCCCAGAGGCCCATGCCTGGCATCCATTTCATCATCAAAACAGATTATGGGCTATGCTTGCTACTCGCGAGTATATCCCAGTATAATTCAGTAGGACCAATGCCTGAGCAAGGGGACTCAGGAAGTTGGTTGGGATTGCAGCTTCCATCAGATATCCAATCATCCAAAGACTAGAGGGGCAGAAAAAGCAAAAAGAGATTTGCCCCTCCTAAATTTCCAGGTAGGAACACGTATTTGTTCTGTGTCTTTGCCCAAATAAGGGGCAGAGATCTTTGTCCTCTTGGGATGGGACTGATGACATGTAGGGAGAAGAAGGCAATGGAGACACAGAGAGAGCCTTCTGTGCAGTGCCCTGGAGAGCAATTTGAAGTCCCACAAATGGTTTTGCCTACAACTCCCATAATCCCTCAGCCATTGACTTTTGTGGGCCAAAACATCTGGAGAGGCACAAGCTGCCCATTCCTGCTTTATCTGAAGGAAGGTGTCATCCACTTTCAACTCAAACAGGATGAACAATGAGAAGGGAGACAAGGAGGGCAAAGTTTCCCATTGATGGCCCTGAGACTGGAGACCGAGTAGGAGTTCGCTTTACTGGACCAGCGTTGACCAGCCTATACAAACGTTATATGGATCTGTGTCCCTTTTTGTCCTCTTTTTGGAGGATGCCCAAGAGGCCGTCCTAGTTTTCGTATACACTGCAGTGCAAATATGCGCAGTGAGTTGTTGCATCTGCACTGCAAAAGCCATCTGAGCTTGTTTCATTGGGTCCTCCATTTGGAATGGAGGAGAGCGGAAGCCTAGACACGGGGATGTGTCCAATCAAGACCATATACTGGAGACCAACCTGGATGTGATGCAAGCCCTGAGACCCTGGCAAAAGTCTGCCAGGTTCAAAGCCAACGTTTCTCCACTAGACTCGAGGTGTTACACCACAGACACTGGCCTTCGCTGTGGTGCTGCACTATACAAAATTCTCCAGCTTGCTGACATCCTGCTCCATAGGAACAACATTTCTTTGAAGACGAGGCTCAGCTCTGGCATTCCTCACCTACAGCAGTAAAGGATCCCATCACTAAATCACCAGTATAGAAACATAGAAACAGAGTGAGTCAGAAGGGGTCTCCCGGGCCATCTAGACTGACCCCCGACTCCAGCCAGCTCCACTCATGACATGCCTACCATGTGCATGTCCAGCCTGTCCTTGAACACCTTCTCCAATGGGACTTCAACCACCTCCCGTGGAAGCCCATTCCATGCCCTAGGGGTCCTAACCGTCAGGAAGGGCTTCCTGGCATCCACTCTAAACCTTGGTTCCCTGAGCTTTGCTCCATTGGAACCTGTCCTGCCCTCCACTGCATAGGAAAAAAAGGCCGTGTCCCAGTTAGTGAGGGAGGGTCTCTAGGTCAGTGGCCAAGTCCCTGCTTTACATGCAGGTGGTCCCGAGTGGAAGCCTTACCATCCCCAAGAAGGGCCAGAAAACTCAATGCTCAGACTCCGCAGAGCAGCTGCCAGAGGGGGAGGGGCCATACTGGGGGATGGGCCACTGGTTTAGGGATTTTAGCTGTCACAAGTTTGCTGCTCTTTATTTCCCATCAGAAGTGATTGTCGGTTAGTAGTGAGAATCTGGGGGTAGTATGTAATTTGCTTTTATTGTTCAGGTTTGCTGGCAATGCATGTGAGCAAAGCCATTAATTTGACTGAATGCTTTACTTTCCTTTGATCGTTAGGTTTGCTGCATCTGTGTTTGTTCTCTTAGCAGTGGCTCTACTCCAGGCAGGCCTTATCGGGACGCGTGTTGTCACATTTCGGCACTCCGCCCACTAAGCTTTTGGGTGATAGCTTGACGGGGACAGATCCAGCCATGTCGAGTGAGATGCAGCAGGCGCAGGGTGGAAGCCTCTCCAAAGCGCCACAGTGTCAGCACATACAGTTATGACAGAGACGTCCAGTGGGCGTGTTTTTTTAAATACCAGCTGCTCAGTTATCTTTCTAAAGCAACTGAAGCTGCTGCAAATGTGAGATCGAGGCGATCACAAGCCCAGAGCAAATTCCTTTGTGCATCATCATTCCAGGTAGTGTCAGCTCACAAGCAAGTGAGTGCGCCTTCGGACAAGGGCCCAGAAGCATGGCAGATCTTTCATGAGCATCCTGCAGCCCTTCTTTGGGCTGTTTCCACCTGTCTCCAGTCCAGGGGATTAGGTGCAATTTTGCAGCACTTCAGAACATTCCCGTGGTCCCTCGACAGTGCCTGAGCAGCCAAAGGATCCGGTTGAGCTCCTTCTCTGAGGCCAAGACACAGCGATGACCTCAGAGAAGGTGATCTGATGGTGGACCATCCCTTCCCATCCAAGCCACTGAGGAAGGTCCTTGGTGGCTTGGACCCTGCAAAAGGGAGATCATGTGTTGGAAGAGGCCAATGCCAGGGAGGAGAAAAGCTGTGGGCCCCATCTTCTCTCCTGGCAGTGAGGAAGAGGCCTGTCTAATCTAAACACCCTTTGGAGAGGCTTACAGGAAGAACTTGGCAGGGCTTAGGATGGAAGGAGAGCTGTGAGGTTGGTGGCCTCCATCCTTTGGGTAGCAAGCCCACAAGAGGATGATAATAAAGATGTTGATAATGATGTTGAAAGGTGAGCATTTATACCCCACGTTTTTTTTTTCTTTCTTGTGAGGAACCCAAAGTGGCTTGCATAGCTCTGTTTTCATCCTCACAACAGCAACCCTGTGAGGTAGGTGAGGCTGAGAGTGATCTACCCAGTGAGCTTCATGACCAAGAGCAGACTGGAACCCGGATCTCCAGGTCCCCAGTCCAACCTTCAAACCACCCCACCACGGTTGTTGTGCTTGAGACTGCGAGGTTTCTCTGACTGACCTGGTGTGTTCGTAGACTAAAGGCCGTTAAAAAATAAATAACGCTAGCAAATGTGTTGATTTTTCTGATCAGTTTCTTTTGCATTTCAATGACAGAATCTCTTTTTAAAATAATCTGTTTTACAACAAGATAAAGCCTATGCTTTCTTGCCTTTCCTCAAATGCATGAATCATGACAGTCCAAGTTAACAGCTGCTTTTTCTATGTAAAAATAAACAAGCACGCAAGGAGATGGAGAAGAGAATTTCTGCCCCTGAAGCCGAGTGTTATAAATGACCCAGGGACTAGCAAGTCATCATGAGAAGTGCCAGCCTGCATCTCACCAGGATTATGCACTGGGCCTGTGTGGGTGATCCCGGCTCCTATTTTATGCCCTCCAAACAGCTGAGCTCTGCAGTGTGTTCAGTTCACAGTGATGAACATTTATGGCTCTACCAGCTCTGCACCATGGACATTTATTTTCTGTTTCACAGAGAAGCACTTTGTTTTTATACACGGAAAATAGCAGCCAGGCTTCTGCACAGCTCTGGCTATTTGCAGCACGTTCCCACACATGTTTTTCACAAGTAGGTCCCATTTCATAAAATGGTGACATTGTATTTTATATCCCATCATTTTTGCTCCTGCGAGGAACCTAAGGCGCCTTACCTGTTTCTCCTCCACACCATCTTTATCCTCATCAAATGACCCTGTGGGGTGGCGCAGGCTGGGAGTCGGCGAGTGGCTGGCACCCAGGGAGATCCATGGCCAGGGGGACTCGAACCCGGATCTCCCAGGTCCCCCATCCCATCAGCCCTGCTCCAAAACCACTTCCTTCCCCCACTTTTCCTCCCTTCCCCTTTTATGTTCATGCCATGTCAGTTTAGACTGCAAACCTGCCCTTGTCCTGTTCTTATGGAGCATTTGCAACAAAGAATAATGCAGCATTTATGTGGAACAGGAAAAGGCAGGAGGGAGGGAGGATGCGCAAAGGTGTCCTGCACGTTGTGCTTTCCTGGGAGGCGATGCTCCAGCTGCAACAGCTGGAATCTTCTCCTCTCTGAATCAGAGGATGAACAAGAAGAAAACAGATCTCCTGGATCTACCTGGATCTCCTGCACACCTGCTGTGGCCTCCACCCTTTAGTTATTTTATTGATTTTTTTTATTTATTAGATCTGTATCTTGCTTATTTCTTATGAATGCAAAGCAACTTACCTCATTCTCCTCCACCTGCTCAGTTTTATCCCCACAACACCCCTGTGAGGTAGGCTGGGCTGAGAGTCTGCGACTGGGCCAAAGTCATGCACTTGGTTCCATGCCAACCCAGGCCACCTGAGTCCCAGTCCTGTGCTCTAACCACTACACCACACTGGGGGTGCGGTTTTGGCCACTTAAGGAGAAGAAAACAGAGAGGTGGCTATTAGCCCCCATTCCTTGTGTGGGGTGTGAAAACTCATCTTTTTAAAGTCACGTTTCAGTTATGTAATGTGAATGCTTTCCTCTTTTTGACATTTTATGTTACAGTGCTATTGTTTCAAATTGCTACATGCTGCCATGTTAGCAATAAGGCAATGTATGCATGCAAATGCTAGATAAATAGAACAACAGTTACATGATTTTATATTAGATGCTAATGTGTAGAAATACAAAAGTAATACACCCAAATTAGAGCAATCCTATGTTATTCCGTTCTACACTATTAAGTGGATTGTGCCCAATGTAAAACCAGATTCAGGTTGATGTATGAAAAGCGTTTATTTATGTAGGGGCGGAAGCACCATTCTTTTCCTAGCAAAACAGAAGTTCCGTCCATGCTTGCTGGGGGCAGGGTGGGGCTATTGATCCTAATGCTTTGATGCTTTCTGCTCCCCCTTTGACAGGAGTGAGTAATGCTGAAATGAGGCAGGCGGGGAAATCGCCTGGCTTCGGTGTGAATTGGATAGCGAGTGCTGCAGACCTGGAGCTTATTAATGCCACAACAGGAAAAAGAAACTGCGGGAGTTCTTCACGACTCTGCAAACACATGTTTTACACTCGATGGGCAAAGCTTTATGGAAAGGTAAGCTGAACAGCCCTGGCGAAGGCAAACGAGGGCAGTTGTGAGGCGGTCAAGCAATTCCAGCCGCATCCCAAGCTAATGCCATTGGCTCGGAGCCGTGTCCCGCTGCAGGTTGTGTGCCTGGCATGGACACCACTATCCAAAGCAAATGCGTTGCCCATCAAGTATCAAGGCCAGATAGGCAGCCATTTAATCGAAGCTAAGCAGATCCGGGGGTGGCCTGAATTTGGAGGGGAGACCACCTGGGAACTGCGTGTAGCCACCTTGAGTTCCACTATGGGAGAAAGGTGGGTTCTAAATAGAATATAATAAAATAAATAAATATATGAGAACAGCTCCGGTACGCATACTTGAATGCAAAAGAGATTGTGTCCAAAAAAAACCAAAACCCCCAAGGTACTCAGACCTGCATTATTGGTACCGTTTGCTTTCCACTTGCAAGCAAGCAGCATCAAGGAATGGAAAAGCAGCCCATGAAGTACCCCAGCCCATGGACATCTTGTAGAAGACCCCGCGTGTCATTTGCAGACACAGATGCCTGTGCTCCACAGTATCATGGGAGAAGTATCTTTTGCGGTGCCCCCACCCACCATTCTTCAGGCTTCGGATTGCTTCCCTAAAACATCAGACATTACCTCTTGGCTGGTTGAGAGCTGAGCTCAGTCATGGGCAGGAGATCCATGGATTTCATCCCAAGGAGCAAAAAGTTCTCTCTTCCCAGGTGCACGGGTGCAGATGGGTACCTTTGCAAGAGCCACGGGAGAAAGGGGGTGCTGCGTCGTAACACTGAGGTGCTCTTCTTCTGCTCAGTACGGCAGCCGCTCAGCTAGCAATGTGAAGTTCCATGGCTGCCATTTCTTTGTCCTGTTTCTAGTATCTCTGTTCATAAGTGATCTAAAAGTGGGTGGATTTTTACTTGCTCATTCTCTCAAAGGATCAAAGGATTAGCTTGCCTGTCTGAAAGCTTGAATCACACAAATTCTTTTTCCAAATGCTTGCTGATTTATTTAGTAAACCACCCCTCGAACCATGGGAAGTCCCCAAGACCTCTTAGCAAAGCATAATTAAAACGACATGGGTTGCATCCAGTGGCGCCGTTCCACTAGTGCAAAGCTTCTACCACTGGTGGAAAGCCTATTTTCATCCCTGAGCAAGTGTGAACAATAAATCAATTCCACTCGCACAAGTCATTTTGCAAGCACAACCCGTTAAGACTTTGTTGGGTTAACTGTTGCTTTGCTGGTGTTTTTGCAAGCATCAGCAGAAACCCAGCTCTTGCGATTCTTCTGCTAGTGTGATGTTGAATATAATAGGCTATGAAAGCATATAAAAATCAAGCCAATTTAAAACTTGATTCATTAGGAGTTACGGATATCAAGGCAGCAGAAACAGGGCATGGTGGGAAAAGATGGGCTATTATTTATGGCTCTATCTAAGGGGTTCAGAGAGAAAAAATCAAATTCTGCATAAAAGTAGAAGTTCTGTACCCAGGCAACCTGGATCCCACTGTCAGCATAAGATTGGCTTTGTAGTAAAGCTCCATTTGCACAAAGAATTAGAATATAGTTTTTGAAAATCCAATATCAAAATAAGAGGCTTACTGAAAAACATGGAAGGCAAGGATTTGGCTCTGCTGCTTATTCACTTGGGAAGGCAGGATGAAAACCCTAAAATTTAATAGGTTTTCATACTAATCCAGCCAGAAATCCACAGAAATAAGCTTCGTCAGACCAATGCAGAGTTGAAAGAAGAGTCACATCTGCAGACGTCTGTCACACAAAAGTTTTTCCCAGTTCAAAAGTCTCCTCCAGTAGCTGAGCCTTTGCACACCCAGCCCTGGTACAGCTGCTGGAAATGACAAGAGCATCTATATGCAGAGGGAGGAGAGTGCCTGAAATCAGTTCTTCCAATCCTGGCTCCCCTAAACAGAATGCTAGCCCCCAAAGAGAGCAAGGGTTGGGAACATGTGCAAACTGTTGGCTTTTAAGTGGAACATCTCCAATTCCCAGATTGTATGGGATTTCACTTCAACCTAGATATGGATCTAGGCTACAATATGGGGGGTTTGTTCAAAAAATGAGGGAAAATTATTTAACCCTTAATTAATGGGAACATATTTGGTGGATGGGAGGATCTATACCACTGGCTAGAACGATACAGGAGTTTGAATTTTGCTTTGCTCTCTAAACTCCCAAAGTAGAATTCAGGTGAAACCATTTAGAAGGAATGAATGGGCCATTTGGAAAGATCCAGTATATTCCAATGGCCATTCTCTGTCATTTATTTCAGCAAGCCTCCAAAATGGCTTTCCAAAGGAGGAATGGAAGAGAGTAAGTACAGTTGCTCAGTGCAGCACCCCAACCTCCTTTCTGAGAGATGCACCAACTTTTTTTCCCTCTGCAAAATCCATTCTCAGTCTTGTGGGCTGACAAGACTGTACAAACCTGCACAACAAAACAGTATCTTCCCAAGTTACTATTCTCAGCCATCCTGTCACTATAAACCAGAAACAAGCACACAGAGCTTATGAACAGTTTGTCTGTGGCTTATGAAATGTAAATGGAACGATTATAGACAGCTGCTGAAAAGCCCGCTGCTTCTACAGTTCTCTCATTTGCATTTGGGTGTTTTCCTCCTCCTCCTCCTCCTCCTCCTCCCATCTCTCTTGCAGCTGAGCGCACGGATACCAAGCCATGGAGATGTGCCAGCCATGTACAGTGAAGCCAAATCAGTGGCACACACGTACCAGTCTGTCAAGCAGCAGCTGTTTAAAGCATTTCAGAAAGCAGGCCTGGGCACCTGGGTGAGGAAGCCCCCCGAGCAAGATCAGTTCTTACTAACGGTGTGAGTCATCAGTCAGCGCCTCTGTGACGTGACCCCATCACATTGACTGGAGAGAAAGACAGCTGCGCTTCAGGAGCGGAGAGCAAGGCCGGTGCCTCCCGGGGTTTACCTCCAGCAGAAGCGGCTAAGCTCAGCTCGGAAGCTGCTGTTGGGGAAATGCGTGGAGCAGAAGAGGGGTTCTGATTAATGCACTGAACTGGACCTTAGGAAACTGCTTTTACCTGCCCATCCCTTCTCAAGGATGTACAAGCCCAGGTTACAAAAATGACCTACACTGTTTGTTCCTTGTTGGTAGCACATTATATATCACTGTAATTATCCAAGTGGCACCTGAATTCAGGCAACAGCAGGTCCTGCTTCTGGCGAAAAGAGCAAGCAAACACCCCCGCCCCCATTCCCCTTCACTGTTAGTGCAATAATTATCCTTGGAGGACAAGTTTTTTCTCGGTAGCCAACACACACAGGTACTTTTAGAATCGGTGTGCACTGAAGTGCAAGAGGAAGGCGTTGTGTGTATGCATGTGTCGATGTGTGTTTATGCAGGGGAAGGGTTTGAACGAGTTCACTGCTGGAAAAGGAGGGATTGCAGGCAAGGTGGAAGAGTCTGTTGCTGCACTCCCAGCCACAGGGTGGGTGCGCGTGTGTTTTTTCTGTGGAACATGGACATCCAGAAATCTATAGGCCATTACAACCCTCGCAGCCCCCTGTACACCTACCGAGAGGGCGACCAAGGGATGGGGAGGTGGCTTATGCACTTGGAATGATCTCTACCCTTGCAAGCCTCAGAAGGAAAGCACTAGAGGAAGGTTGCTGGCATTGCTTCAGGCCGGGAGAACAGAATTTGGGACCAGAAGCCACCAGTCAAGCCACCCAAGGTTCTGGACACTTCCTATTGAGCACAGAATATTGTTTGAGGTGGAAGGAAAATGGTAGCATTTGTGAAATACAGATCCAAGACCTGGGAGCTTAGCCTCATCCCATCCCTGAGCCCTCGAGGCTGCCATGGGGCTGTTGCGATCCTCAGCCACAATGGGACCAGAACAGTACACAGAATCATGGAGAGCAGCAAGCATCCCAAGACTCATGCGACGTGAGGCATGCATCCCATCCTGTCCAGCTACTAGTGGGCATGCTCAGAGCTCCAGCATACCCAGCCATTATCTTGCATGGGAGGCCTGCTTGCATTGCCCATGGAAAGACCCCCTGACCCCATTCTTCCTCAGAGCCCAAGCATGTAGGAGACATGTGCAGTTCTGGAAACGAAGGAGGTGGCGGGTCTCTTCCTGGTGGTAAGAGCCAGGTTCGTTGCAGTGCAATTCTTACTAGCATCGAAGCATGCGAAAGGTGCATCTGGCCATCACAGGCAGAGGATACTAAAGGTCCAACTGCACATTTTTCCAGTATAGATAATAGTCTACTGTCCTCTTTCCCCAGGAACCTGAATGGAATGGGTAATAGCATTTCTTGGCGCTTGCACGAAGATTTTCCTGTAGTCTTCAAAGGTTAAATACATTCTGACATTATTACAGTCTGATTTATCTTTAAGTTAGCACCAGCCAGTTCACAAATTTGAAACTGCAGCAGCTGCAGGGAGGGAAATGTGCTGCTGTGATAGCAAAAAAAGGAGGAGGAAGAATGGACAATTATTAAATATTCCGGTTAAGATACACCAGTAGGGGGATGCTATGCATGGTTGGGGCAGAGCGGAGCCGTCCATTTGCTACGGGGCTGTGGAAGTGGCGGTCCCGATGCCGCCGACGCCTGGCGCAAGCTGAAAGAATTACCCTGCTCTTTCCCCAATGAAAGGACTCATCCACTCATCTTGTACCATGTTTGGGAGGCTTTTGGAAATAGCAGTTGTTCTTATTCCAGCAGAGCAGACCTTGCCAACTTGGCACCCTCCAGGATTGTTAAAGCACAACTCCCATCATCCACATCCCCAGCCAGTTGGGAAAGGAAGCTTCAAACTATCCCCCAGTCTAGCAGAAAGTGCGAAATGGGCAGAAAATGCATAGCTGGGGTGAGGGAGCAGGTCTCTTACGCCACATTCATCCACAGATGCCCTCCCCAGAGTTTGATCCGATCCCAGTTCTAGATAAAATCTGTGGGCTTGGGAGTTTGAATATTCAGTGCACATCATTTCTTCTTCAGACAGAGAATTTGGAACTCTAATCGTATCAACTTGTATGGATAAGCATTTTTTTAAAAAGTAAAAAGTGGCTTACACTTACCTTGAGGGAAGTAAGTTTGAAAGTGTGCAGACGATGACCTGGTTCACACAACATAGCAGAGCTTATCTTGGCTTCATTGAGCCATGGTAAACTGCACCATGGACAGGCATATTTGCATATCCAGCTCCCCACTCTGGGTTGTCCTGTTGAGCAAACCTGGTAACCGTGGGTTATATGAAGGTTAAACTACCCTTGCATAACCCATGGTCAGGTTACGAGCAGGTTATTTAGCCCTCACTTAATCTGCTCACTGGGTTGGATATGCAGAATGGCAACTGCCCATGCCACAGATTCAACCCACAATGGGCTGTTTTGTTGTGCAAACCAGCCCCATATTTTCCTGATAAAACCTTAGGAGGCAGCAAGGGAAGGATTGGGCAGGATTTCATTATTACTTTTCCAGACACAAAATCAATGGCCACTTCTGTCCAACAAATTGACTGCTTGGACCTGTAGTATCCTTGAGGCTGCACCCACCTGGAGGACAGCTGCCTGGGAATGTGCCTGGTTCACGGGAGCACGCTGGCTGCAAGAGAACCTGCATCCTCTCTCCATGCAACTTTGTGGTTGGCCATTCCCATCAGATCGGGGTGAAGAGCCCCCAGGCCTTTGGTGCAGCCTCCCAAAGGATGCCAAACGCTCTCACCAGTGTTGATTCCCCACAAGCGCACGGGCACACGCACCCGCACTCTCCACTTCCTCCCCAAGAACTGCCAACAAAGCATCTTTCCCTGCTGTGGCCAGCAGCGATGATGGAAGTGCGGTCCAGATCCGGGGCAGGGCCGCTGGTCCCTTCGAGACAGCACCACGCCTTATGCACTGTCCATGCTTCCATCGGAGAAGCGAATGCCCGAGTGGGTTGCTACAACAGTCACCGGGCTGGCACACAGAAAATATCCCTTAGGGCACCCAAAGAGAAAAGTTACGGAAATCTAAGCAACTCCAGAATAGACCTCTCTCCGAACCGTAGGTCAGTTCTGGTTCCCTGCCCCCAACCACCCATCCACCCAAATAACAGGATTTGCGGGTATAGAACAACTGTTTTCTTTTTAACTGTGTGGTTTTCCTGAAATGTATATATATATTAACATGCTGCTACTGATCTGTGATCTGTGTTGGTGTTTCTTCTTAGAGCTCCCGAATGAGTTACTTTTGAAACTCAAGTACACAGCACACCCCCTCCCCACGCGCCCCTTCCGTTCTGCCCTGGAGAATTTCTTTCACGCTCGACCCTTTTTTTGCCAATAAAGTTAGATGCTCTGTATATAAGGTTTGGAGAGCCTTATTCAGTCCATGTATCTGTTTATTAATGCCCACACAATAGTAATAGGTGAGTATTTTGATGAAATTTTTATTTTTAGATAACTGATTACAAGATGTATCTATAGTGTCTTGTACAAAATAAATTATTGTGATAAACTAGGATTTTTAAATTAGATTAAAAAGAATAACTTTCCCCTTACAGAAATGTTTTCAGCAGACAATACATTCCATATATATTGCCAAAAAGGGGGAGGAAAACCCAGTCCTAAAGAGTAGAAGTAGGAGAATGCCTGAATTGCTTCATCAAGTCAGGACTGACAAATTAGTTAGGGTAGCAGGTTCTTCATTTGTAAAATGAGATATGCAGCTCTTGAAGCTTCTAGAGGTCATTTATCCAGTCCTGGAAGAATTGTGCCTGTTATCCCAGGATGTGAGAGGTGGGATTGGGCACAGCAGAGAAGGAAAGGCTGGGGTGGAATGCAGCGAAAGCAAGCAGGATCTCAGATGTGTTGGAATTCCTGGAATGAGACTGCTTTACTATGGCCCGATGCAGCCCGGTCGTGTGCATGTTTGCTTGGAGGTAAACCCCACTGACTTCAGTGGTACCTACTCCAAAGTCAGAGCACATGAGATTGCAGTCTAACTCTCACTGATGTTCTTCAAAGAAGGATGGCTCAAAATGCATGTGGAGAGTCCGATGCCTGAATGCACATCCATTCCTCATTCTCTGCCCACAAGCCCTTCTCACTGGCATCCTTGCTTGCAACAAGCAGGGCATTTTCTTCGCATTGCTCTTAATAATAGGGCTGTCCAGGGGTCCAGCCCAAGACGGTCTCTGCCGCATGATATTTCTATGCATGCTCATCCACTCTGCGAGATTCCATGTGCAGAAGAGACAGAGCGGCCTTTGACTGCAGAACTCTGCCTGGCTGTGAAGCTCACTGGGAAACTTTGAGCCACAGGGTTGAAACCTACCTCACAGGGTTGTTCTTTGGGTCTAATGGGGTGGGTGAATATGGGAATCAAGATGACCTACTTGGAGGAAAGTCAAAATACATCTTTTAAAAAAGGGGAATTCTCAGCAGCCTGGCCTTCAAACCAATTTCAGGGTAGCCTAAACCTTTGTAAGAAACTGCTCTGGAGTCAGGTCCTCGGTCCAACTGTCCCAGCATTGCCCACATGGGCTGGCAGCAGCTCTTGGGGGTTTCAGGCAGGGATTTTCCAGTCCAGCCTGGAGGTGCTGAGGATCAAACGTGGGCCTCCTGCAGGCAACGGATGTGATCCACCGCTGAGTCACGTCCCCTCCATCCTCAGTTGTCGCCGTGCTAGGACAAGGTTAGGTCCTTTATGACATTACAGCTTCTTGGAGTTCCCCCATAAATATGGCACGTCCCTGTCACCATCCTGGGGACTTTTAAAGGAAAGGCACTGTAAAAATTTCTAGAATTTTAATCTAGAATCCTAGGGTGGAATCCTGTGTGTGTGTTTAGACCAAATGCTGGCTGGAAAA